ACTGAACAAGCGAAAAACTGATCTTTCCATACATTTACAATTTGTTTATTTTTACTTTTCTGTATATTTGTTGCAATATATAAAAGATTTTCAAGGACTTTTTCTTCATCATGTGTCAATGCAATTAATAACTGCGATACTCATCGATAAAAAAGAAGTTTCAAATTCACAATAAAATTAAAACAGAGACCTTCTCCAAATTTATCTTGTACAAATAATACTTTAGATTGTATACTGTTCAATTTGATTTCATGGACATAAAGTCATTATATTAGAAATAAGACATAAATTAATAAATTTTAATACTGTCTATTTGGCGATTTTTCACCACTTGATCATCACAACATGGATTCTTCTTTTTCTAAAGCTCTTGAAATTTAGATATAGTTTATTACGTTCATTAACATGAAGACATTCCCCCCACAACCATATTTGGGAACTTGTGGTTCAGTCAAAATTTAAATATTATCTGGGTGACGTCAGCAGTCAAACCGTTTATATATTTAAAGCTAACCTCATAGTACTCTCGAAAGTTTTGGAATTTCGTTTAAATGCGCACGTTTTCTGTAATATTTATCCCTGCAGTATTATTTAGTCGCAGTACTGGGCTGTTAAAATCGTTCAGAACATAAGGGGCCGTTTTCATTTTATTTCCATAAGCCGCGACTTTATCATTTGAAACATTATGCACCCCCATACAGTGTAGTCCTACTGCGATAAATATCAAATTTTTACAAATTATCATTAATTCAAATATCAAACAGATTAATTTGCATATTAACAGAAGATTAAATACAGAACACACACTAAATTTGAATAACTTATATGAATTACTTTTGATGTGATGAATAATTGAAATATAAACTTTTAAATGAGTCATAATTTCTTTTCGACGTAAATCTCTGGGGAGTCATAATTTTACTATAATTATAAATTTTCAAATAGATCGTGTTATCAGGATATCCATTCGCTGGCTTGATGTTGATATGCCAGACTCGATGGTGCAAATTAATGCACCCTGAAACCACTAACAAGAACACTTTTATAGAAGCATATTATGTATCAAAGGTATATTACATATTACGTCAGTAACATAGAATGCTTTCTTCAATCTAGAACAAATTTACATTTCTAAACTTTATCTTCTATACGCAGTCGACGTTACTGTCGTTTCTCTATTCAATTAGATATTACTTTATGTATAACATACGACGAAAATGATTTAATATTTATGAGATAATTAAGGAAGTTTTTAAAAATTGAATCAAATTTGCTTTTATAAGGGTTTTCAAGTTGAGACTTGAGTAGTACTATGTCAATTATGTACTGCAAAAAATGGCATGCACGATAACTTCATTTATGCATGTTTTCTTTGTATTATGTGGCCAATTCTAAAATGAATAAGTAATAGATTTTAATGACACTGAGCAAACTGTGACATAAATAACAAGGCTGTTGCTTCAGGTTCATAATCTAGAGTTGTTAAATTATGTAAAAATACACCATTGCTTTTTCGTGTATTTCGTCCAAAATTAATGCAGGTTGCAAAAAAAATATTTTTTGAGGCTCAAACATCTTTGATGAGTCGTCTTCTTCAAGTGAGCAAAATTATGGACGATATTTGGTGGGTTGTCTTCTTCCAGTAATCAGAATTATCGACCATCTTTTTTGAGTTTTCTTCTTCAAGTACACGGGATTGATGAAAGAAAAAAAAGGAAAGCTATAGCAACGTTGCGCACGAGTACCATAATTTATATTATACGAATACCTCTATGTACACGAATACCAAAAATTTCAAGAATTCCATAACTTACACGAATATCATAATTTACACAAATACCATAATTTACACGAATACAATAATTTATACGAATACCACAAATAACACGAACACCATAAATTACACGAATTCCATAAATTACACTAAAACCATAATGTATACGAATATCATAATTTACATGAATATAAACACATTACACGAGTACAATAATTTAGAGGAATAGAGGTCAAACTCTAGTTGAAAAATCTTAAGTATAGTTTATTCTGGATTAAACACTGTCGCTGAAATCATTGAAACGTTGTCATAGAATGTCTTGAACATCCACATATGCCATTCATTATTACAATGTTGTCTGATTTTGCTCTCGAGAATTAGATGTTGCGATTCTGGTATTTATTAATGAGAAATAAAATTTATGTGAGAATATTTTACAAAGCATTCATAAAATATTTATGGGGTCAACTCTTTTTGTAATATACAAGTATTGGCGGCAGGGTGGGGTGGCAAAAATGTATTATTTTGTATACACATCACGCACTAATAACATAAAGTACATGTAATCTACAGCGTCACACAATTTAAAAGAAAATAAAAGGAATATGCACTCACTATTTTCAGTTATTAATAATAACTAATGACCTTTAAGATCTATTAATACATTTTCGATCGAGTAAAGAAACTGTTTATTTTGTAAAACATGTAGCTGTGGACAGTATAAACGGCAAAACTTGTACATTTTGGATCATATTAGTTTACACGACACTTGGTAATAAAGCGAAAATCAATATGAGTATCTCGTGTCATGATCTTATATATATATATATATATATATATATATATATATATATATATATATATATATATATATATATATATATATATATATATATATATATATATATATGATATCATTATTGGGTATTGAATGTAAATATTAATTGCCGCTGGATGGATATTGTTTATGGTATGGACCCAGTATTTATAGGTTACTGCATTTGTATGGGAAAATATGAACGAGTTTTTCGGATGGCTATACTGCACGACCTTGGGAGTGCAGTATAGTTATTTGAAAAAACGAGTTCATATTTTCCCATTCAAATGCAGTAATCTTTTTATTATATGCTCATTTTTGTTTCATTACCAAAGACTTAATAATAAAATTCACAGCCAAATATATTTAATAATAAAATTGATTAATTTATTATTTAAATAAATAAGTTGACAATCGTAGATTCTCCTTCAATACACAATAATAGTATTTATGTGCATATAGCTCCGCCCATCGACCTTTTGACTTCATAGCGTTCCGCGCGCTCACTCATTTAAAAAAGAAATCCCATTTTGTTCTATCTGAAATTTAAATTTAAAGTCATATTATGAATGACTGCGCCAGTGAACAAAGTTTCTAGTTGGTCAGGAATTGAGAGATTTTGTTTTTCTGTCAATACAGCCAAATTCTGATTATCTCCTTCTGAGTGTTTTCCGCACGATGTAAGTGTGACTTCAGGGACTGGCGATGACAATAATCTGCATAACTGTTTATTCTGCCATGGATAGTTTGGAATCGTAAGGTGGAAAAATATGAAAGTTTTTAAACATAAATTCTTAAGAAGATGCTGGTTTCAATATTGTTTTTTTTTGTGAACAACTGATTCATTTCTTGCGGAGTTCCGTACAGTTTATTATGGAATGTGATTTCGATTTCAACAATGTAGTCTGGATTATATAGGCCTACATGTTATAGTACACAGATGTGTAACAGTATTTGGAAATACGTAATGAAAGTTTTTAAACATAAATTCTTAAGAAGATGCTGGTTTCAATATTGTTTATTTTTTGTGAACAAACATATTCATTTTTTGCGGAGTTCCGTACAGTCTACTATGGAATGTGATTTCGATTTCAACAATGTTCCGGAATGATATTTTCAATGCAGCGCGTCTCACGTTTGTTTTCATACAGCCATCGCTGAACATTTCTAATATTACGTTCAATCGCCAGCTTCGTTGAAAATTTATTCTGTGATTCTATGAATTCATCCACAGTCTCAACTTTGGCATCTGTAGTTTCAAATGGTTCAAACAGTTGGTATACTTCATTCACCGACAAACACAATAAATCTAAAGTACTGGCGTCTGCGTCCATTGTTTGTTTACTATAGAAAGTAGTTCTTTATTCACGTGCTTCAGTCACGTGGGGGTGCAATATGAAGGTGTTCAATATCGCTGGATATTGAACGATTCTGACAATGTAATGTTAACGGAGAAAAAATTGAGCATATAATAATACATGATCCAAGTGTACTTTAAGATATCAAGTAAGTATGTGCCATGCTGTATGTGTTACGTATATGATCAATAAATAGAACTAATGCAACTGTATGAGACACACTGAGAGGCTAATTTGAATAAATTCGCACTACCGTCAAGACCCTCATATTTTTATTATTCAGCTAATAAATCATTTTATTATATATTTTATTCCGAAATATTAAAATATGTCAATGGGAAAAAATGATGTCGACACAGTGACGATATTACTTTTATCAACATAGTGGCAATAACATTCTTGGAAATACTTTATCCACTATGGAAGTATATTTGCCCTGGTGTATGTTATTCAGACCGCTATATCCACCTACCCCCATTTCATCTCTATTTCTGCTTGTCTCTGTCTGTCTGTTTGTCACCTTTCTCTCTCCCCATCAGGATGAATAGATATCCAAATTTGTCAGGATCGTTGACCCTTCAGTATACACTTATATAATTTTTGAGGAATTGTCAAGAATACTTAAAAATGAATCACAAAGCACAAAAAATGGCTTTAAGTACTGACTTTAACAGGATCAGTTTTCCACATGAATGATTCATATTGTTTGTGCCTGAATTTAAGTGACTGTTCTTATTCGATATGATGTGGCATATATAAAGCATTGTATACAGGTTACAATAAATTACAAACGGTACACATTTAACTAAGACTTCTTGAATATATATACAAACAAAAATTAAGTTGCCATTTTAACTGTCATCACAATCGTAATCATGTTTGAGAAAGATGGAGAAATCAGGTGTTGATTGGAGTCGATTGTAAAACGAAATTAAGTGACCATTGGTAAGTTTGGTCAACGTACTTCACCGACGAAATAGACTCAATTTTTGTAGACTAATGCATGTTTTGCATATGTTTGACAAACTTTGAACCAGGGACGGGACCGCTCTAGTGGCCTAGTTGTTAGAGCGTCTGTCTCAGATGCGGACGGTCGTGGGTTCGAACCCCGGCCGACTCATACCAAAGATTTTAAAAAATGGTACTAACAGGTCTGCGGTATGATGCCCAGTTGTAGACATCACTATAATCTGTCACACTGCAGACATCGTATCGATATGACTGAAAAATTGTTAAAGCTACGTTAAAAATCTAAATCACACACACTCTCTCTCTCTCTCTCTCTCTCTCTCTCTCTCTCTCTCTCTCTCTCTCCTTGAACCAGAACAGGTATTAGTCACTATCACCTTTTCCATTTGTCCCGTAACCTGGCTAGTATTAGTGGTACCGCTTAACTTTAAGAAATCTTTCTTCATTTTGCTTTGTACTTCATTGCTCTTTGGAACTTTGCAAATGCCAAGCTTGTCAACTCTTCTATGTTATCTTCCCATCTCTTTTTGTATTTGCCTTGTTTTTGTCAGGTTGATACGTTAAAATTTAAATAAACAGACATGATCCTGTTTAGTTTAAATAAAGTATTTGCAGAATTTTACTGTACTTGTTTGTTTCGCTTTAATCCGTAACAGTATTAACACCGTTAAACACAAATTATTGACATAAATGTATCTGGTAAAAATGCATAATTTTCCTCCACGCCAGAAACAATGTTGGAACACAAAAGGATGTATAATAACGTAGATATCTCGATAAATGTGGTACATGCAGAATTCTCCAATATGTTGTTTTATTATGATTTCAAATATATCTCTGAATTCAGACAAATACTTGTACCCAAAAATTTGACATATCTTGGACAATCAAACCAGCCAAGCACATTCTATCGGGGTTCTATATTTACCTTAAATTAATCAATAAATAATACAAAGCAAAAAGTTGATGTGGTATAGGATGCATTAGCATATTTTGCAATGCGTTGAGTACATTAGCAAATTCGTGTATACAGACTTAATATCGAAAAATGCAAAACTTGGGGTAGATGTTGCTGATGTTAATATTAAAAATCAATGTCATATCTGTATCATAATGATCGGGCAAATGCCGAGGTACAATAATTGAGGACAAAGTTCACAACCACATATATTTTATGGCAAGTATAGAAATCCACCAAAAAAACGAATACATTTATAATTATGAATATTAAAAATATATACTATGGTTAATTGAAACTTTTTCCGACCATTACAGCCACTTCTTCAAGTCACTTCAAGAAATATTAATCCAAATGAAGAGGAAAATATCGAACTAAAGAGCGATGATGATATTTCGTTCAAGAAGGTTTCCCTCTGATAGGGTTTTGAATTAGAAAAAAAGTACTTGTTAAAAATAAAATAATGTTTGAGAAGAGCTTTATGTTCTTGGAACTGTCAATAGAACGTCTAGCAGAAAACTCAAAGAAATTATGACATCCAGATATCCAAGAGATAAAATTAGTAGGCTTTACCGTTAACTGACCTATTCACAGGTATTCAAATGACGACACTTGTATATAAAGACGTCGATTCAACCAGTAAAAATATGGAGAACGTCATGAATGTTATGAAGAAAAGGAGAAATTTTAATGAAATGCAAACGTTAAGGAATTTGGTGTATTTGAATAAACAGTTATAAAATTGATATTACTGCAATTCTCATGGATTATCACGTGATCAACATAAGAAAATATAAAGCGTTGAATTGGAACGGATGTATTCGTTCATAATAGTTCAGAACGGAATACGAGGTGGAAATAGCTTAAATATACTAAAGCATATAATGAACACGTCTTGCACAAATATAGTGAAAAAACAAGCTGGTATTTTGTACGATTGTAAGAAAATAAAGATAAGGATCATTCATTGTCTGCCTAGGTGATATCCACTTGTATGGATAGGTTTGTCTTCATAAACAATTGTAAAATGGGCATGTGATGAAAACCGTCTATTATAAATATTAGGCCATCAAAATATCGGATGCATTTTATAAGCTGGAACGAAGTTTGCATTACCTTTCTGTGATTATAACAAGAATGCCAATTATCTCAAAAAAATTTATCTCAGCTTAACATGGTTTGTGAAAATTGCAAAAGACGCGGATTAATTATTATAGGAATAGAAATCAAGATGACTGTATCCAAAGCTTTCATGTACATAGAACAAGAAAAATAAATAAATAAATCATGCACGACAGACATCTGACGTTTTGGCTGGGTTTAATTATATATATATATATATATATATATATATATATATATATATATATATATATATATATATATATATATATATATATATATATATATATATATATATATATATATATTGGGTGGTTGTCTTCCGTTAGTCTCGAGAGACGATGGAAATGCGCCCATGAAAGGTGTCCTAGTTTGTAGTTGTGCAGCGTCTTCTGTGGCTATAAAGTCCCACACGGGAGTGGCAATCCTTGCTGCAGTTGCTACACTTGAAGTATGAATCAGGTCTTGGTTGGAACTGCATCCTCTTCCTCTGAGATCTTTTCTCATCAGCGAGCTGTCGTAACTTTTCCTCGCTGGCTTTCAGACCTGTGTACAGAGCATGTCGCCAGCTGGACTTGTCGATGGCAAGCTCTTCCCAGGTGTTGACCTCTATTCCAAGAGCTTTCATATCCTGCTTGCAGACATCCTTGAAGCGAAGATGTGGCCGTCCTATTGATCTTCTGCCTGAGGCAAACTTAGAGTAGAGAAGGTCTTTGGGGATCCGTCCATCATCCATTCGATGCACATGTCCCAGCCATCTGATGCGACGTTGGCGGAGGAGTGTGACCATGCTGAGAATTTTGGCCTGTTTAAGCACCTCGTTGTTTGTCACACGATCGCGCCAGGTGTTCCCGAGTATACGACGGAGACAACGCATGTGAAAGGCACTCAGTCGTTTCTCCTGAGAGGCGTACATGGTCCAAGTTTCGCTGACATACAGGAGAGTGCTAAGCACGCAGGCACGGTACACGGAGATCTTAGTGTTTAATGTCAGCATGCTGTTGTTCCACACTCTCTTCGACAAACTAGAGAGAGTTGTTGACGCCTTTCCAATCCGCTTGTTGAGCTCGGCATCGAGTGAGAGGTTGTTGGTGATGATAGAGCCAAGGTAAGTGAACTTACTGACTACTTCTAGTTTGTAGTTGTTAATGGTTATGCTGGGAGGGTCTGCGTCCTGAGCCATCACGTCAGTTTTCTTTAGGCTAATGGTCAACCCGAATTCATAACATGCTTTAGCAAAGCGGTTCATCAGGCGTTGTAGTTCAGCTTCTTTGTGAGTGACCATAGCAGCATCATCTGCAAAGAGCATGTTTATAATGGTTGCTTTCCTTACTTTGCTCATTGCCTTCAGTCGTGCCAGGTTGAACAGTCTGCCTTCTGAACGCGTGTGCAGGTAGATCCATTCTGTGGAAGTCACAAAGGCGTATTTAAGCAGGACAGCGAAGAAGATGTCAAAGAGCGTGGGGGCAAGGACACAGCCTTGTTTCACTCCGCTGTGGATATCGAATGGTTCGGACGGTGAGACTCTGGATACACTCTGTCGACAAGCGTCTGCAGTCCGTTCAGGATCACTCTAGCGAAGACTTTACCCACGATGCTGAGAAGTGATATGCCCCTGTAGTTGTTGCAGTCACTTCTGTCGCTCTTGTTCTTGTACAGGGTTCTGATGTTGGCGTCTCTCATGTCCTGAGGCACTGCACCTTCATCCCAGCACTGGCAGAGAAGATGATAAAGGTGTGTGAACAGCACACTGCCGCCACACTTGATGACTTCTGCTGGGATGCCATCCTATCCCGGGGCTTTACCTGTGGTCAGTTTCTCTAATGCCAGCTTTAGTTCTGTCTCAGTAGGTTTCTCATCCAGTTTGGTCAAACAATGGAGGTTTTCAATAGCGTTGAGGGCATTGTTGGTCACATTATTCTCTCTGGAATACAGTTTGGAGAAGTACTCCACCCAGCGCTCCACCCAGTCTTTCGTTTCCTTTTTGGCAGGGTTCTATCATAGCCAGCAGAGAGTTTCTGACAGCAAAACCAACACCATACTCCCTAACTTCGTCTGAGCTCTTTCCTTGCCAGAAGAACGTGTAGTTCTTTTCTCTGAGGGACCCAGAATCTGGTAGCCGTGTCTCTTGAAGTGAGGCGATATCGACACGGAGTCTTGCGAGTTCTTCGTTGATGACTTTAGTCTTTCGAACATCACTGATTGCCTGTAGATCATCTGAAAGCCCTGTCAGCATAGTCCGGACGTTCCAGGTACCTAGCTTGAGGATTGTTGATTTCCTTGTTTTTCTTTTGTTTTTTCTTGGTGCTGTAGTTGCATCCCGCTTGTCAGGTACTCACGTATCTTAAGCCCTGCGCACCCAGCAAGGCAGGTGAGCTGTGGCAGGACGGCACCTTATTGGCTGGGGGCTGCCCAGCTTGAGGCGGGCGATAGCTGTCCAATGAGATCTGTTGGTCTCTTCCACCGTCGGAAGCAACCCCTGGCGTCTAACTCTACGCCAATCGAGTGGTGACTTATAACCGGTAACTGTTGCTTCCCGTGTTGTGTCAACGCTGTGAAGCGGAGATGGAGTGTCCTCTCCAGAGCGCAAGCCTGGGCAAGGTTATATGGAGAATCGGCTGATGCCCATGCAACTGACTCCCCATCTCCACGCAGCTGATGGATCCAAGAGAAAGGACAAGCCGATACGTCTTGGCACCAGCGGCGTCGCAGGAGTTGCCGAGTGCCGAGATGTCACTAAATGCAGTGACAAGTCGCATATATATATATATATATATATATATATATATATATATATATATATATATATATATATATATATATATATATATATATATATATTGTGTGTGTGTGATGTGTGTGTGTGAAAAGGAGAGGAATTCATGAGTCTGCAGCAAAATATTTGCTGCAGGAAGATACAGTATTTGCCATCTCTGTGTATTCACTACCTAGAAATGTACATTTCTTTCCTCTTAGATTTTTCTGGATTTTTAAGGAAAGTCGACTTTTATTTACCTACATCTATATTATCTATGTGTCAATCTGACATTAGTCAAACAGCAACCTAAACAA